AGCGTTTGACTTGGTCCTGGGAAGGGACCAGCAGCAAGGGACTGTTGGCTGACGGCAGATGCCCTTTGGAATCTTGATGTGGTCAGAATTGAACTAGGAGGTGTGGGTTTACCAGTACTAGCTGGGTGCTAGCATGGATACCAGCTGCCTTCAGAAGGCTCCGCAGCTCTGGGTGCCCAGGATTGTCTCAGGCCAGCTTTCTCCGATTAGAGGAAGCTCCCTGGCCAGACACAGAAAATGGCTACAATTTTTCTGGAACCCGGAAAACCCATGCAGCTGTGTCTGAGCCTTTTAGTGAGCACAGAGGCACATGATTGTAAGACAAGTGAGGCTGGGACTAGGCAGCAATTGTTTGCAATTCAATGCCTGTTTAATTGGAGGAAACGTGAGTCATGCTGAGACAGAATGGGTTTGTTAGACTCCTGTATCACTGGCCAGAGCCCGGCAGGGGTCCATAGTGGATCCCAAGCACTCTGTACTCAGGTTCCCTGGGTTCTGGTCACGGTACTTGGGGACACGATTTGGGATTGAGGTGGGACCAGCTGAATCCCCGGCTAAAGGTCTAGCCCCCTTCTGAATATTCCTGGGCCTCCAAAGGAGAATCCTGCAGGGTGGGAGACCTCTGTCTCTGAGACGAGGATGGGGAACCAGCTCAGCTTTCAGTGGAGGAGGCCATTTGGGTGCTGTTTTTGGTGCTGCTGGGCTGAGCTGGGAGAGGAGCTGGGTGATGATCCTTCGTAATGCTGGAGACTGCCAACCCTTGAAAGGGCCAGGCAGGATGGAATAGTGAACTGGTCCAGGAACTTAACATGGACCTGGCCCCGAGGAGCTGCCTCTGCCCAGCTTCAGCCTTGAGGGGATACGGCCCATTGGTGCCAAGCCTTGAGATATTTTGTCTGTTCTAGTGGTGCTGGGGATCAAACCCAGGGCCTCACAAATTCGGGACAAATGCTCTACCACTTGCATGCCCAGCCCTGAGATTGCTTATTTCTTTTTTGATATAATTTTGATGTGTAGGCCAGGCTGACCTGAAATTCATGGTCTGCTGATTCTACATCTGGATGTGCTGCCTCCCATAAACTGGTATGCCCAGCTTTAAGGGCTTATTTGTTTGTTTTGTATTTTATTTTGAGACAGGATTTCTCCTGTAGCCTTGGCTGTCCTGGAATTCACTCTGTAGACCGGGTTGGTTTTAAACTCAAAGATCTGCCTGCCTCTGCCTCCTGAGTGCCGGGATTAAAAGTGTGCTCTACAACTGCACAGTTGCTTTGAGACAGTAAATATCTCACTATGTAGATCAGGTTGGCCTCAAATCTGTAATCCTCCTGCTTCTGTCTCTGGGGTACTGGGGTTACAGGTATGTATCACCATGCCCAGTAGCCTTGAACATTTTTAATATGAAAAAAAGTATATGAAATTGTTTTCATGTGAAATCTAATTTTTAAGTGTTGGCAATTAAAAAGCGTATAGCACAAGGAATGTTCGAAGAGCATCAGTTTGGAGACAGGAGCTAGCCACAGGAGGTATGGAGCAGGCCCAGCTGCCAGCTGAAGGTTCATATCCAGTCTTCTTGGTGTCTTATACCAATGCCCTAAGGTCCTGGCCCTGGTATTTTGCCCTCCAATTTAGGATGCCAAGGGAGTCATAGATTCTCTCCCGCTGGGGAGAGGGACTTGGAACTCCATCCATCCTAGTGCTAGAGACAAGGTCAAGTGCTGATGGGGTTATAGGGAGAGCGTGGGTATGGCCGGCTGTGTGGCATACATGGAGAGGCCTGCATTTCTTTAGCTGGTTAGGAGTGAGTGGCAGAATTGCCTGGCAGGCTGGCACTGTCCTGCCCCAACACTTCAGGCCTTCCTGCCAGGGCCTTTTTGACTCGGCTTCAGGGGTGATGTTCCCTGTGGATGCTTTATACCTTCTTTCCTTTCTCCTACAGTTAATGATCTTTTTTGTTGCTGCCACCATTCTCTATATCACTGCTTTTATCGCCTGCGCCGCAGCAGTGGACCTGACATCCCTGAGGGGCTCTCGGCCCTATAACCAGCGCTCAGCTGCCTCTGTAAGTATGTTCCCAGGGCTCCAGCCTTCTGCAGGGGATCCAGCCAGCCAGGCCTGTGTACGCACAGGCTCCTGTCTGAGCAGTCACTGACTGGATGCTTGGTGGGGCTCAGCCTTGCTCAGTCTTCCTTAGTGAACAGCAGAGCCAGAGGGAACCTGAGAGCAGAGTGCTTGGGATTCACTGTGGACCCCTGCTGTGCCACACTCCTTTTGCTTCTAGTGTCACCCTGGTCTGGCTGTTAATCACTACAGACATTCCAGTTTTTTGTTGTTTGTAAATCTCTAACAAAAAGCCTGAACTTGAGCCGTGTCAAATGGCCATTTATACTCCATCCACAAGGTCCTGTATATGCTTTGCTCTAGAGAGGCATCGCCTACGGGTTCTTTTTCAGACAAGAAAACTTGAGGTCATGTCCAGGACAGGGTAGCCCTTGGTGTCTTCCCTCTTCCTGGTCAGAGTGGTTTTAAATTTAGTTGAACTCCCACTTGGGAACTGGGACCTAAGTGCCAGAAAAAACACATCTGCATATAGAGTACAAACCGGTTTGGAAAACTCCTGAGAGCTTTGAGTATTTTTGCTGATTGTTTTGGTTTCTAATTGTGGGCCTGGAACCGAAGGGCCTTGTGAAGCAAGGCAACCACGCTACCGCCGGGCTGCATCCCCAGCCCTGAATGTTACTTGTGGACACTGATATGGTGTGTAAAGTTAACCCGTGGTCACTTCTCTTACGGAGAGCAGTTGGGACACTATGGTTGTCCCGACACCAGCTGACATGTCTGGCCTGTGCATTTCTGTTGCCCTGACCCTTAGAACATAATGGCAGCTGTGTGGTGTGTGGCTGCCAGAACAAGTGGTTCTGATTAATTAATTCTGATAAAAGCTACCACTCAAACTTTTATTCCCAAGTCCATCAGAGGTCTGCTGTCACTGCCCCCATGTGGTTTCCTTGCTCTCTCTGACTGACCACCTTGGCATCTTCTCTTCTCCCCTGCCAGTTTTTTGCTTGTCTGGTGATGATTGCCTATGGAGTGAGTGCTTTCTTCAGCTTCCAGGCCTGGCGAGGAGTGGGCAGCAATGCAGCTACAAGTCAGATGGCTGGGGGCTACTCTTAAGCCAGCTAAGCCGTGGCCTAAGGCTGGGTCTTAGCACAGGGTCATCGCCCAATCTTACCGGACTCAAGCTCTCCAGCACTCCTGAGGAACAGGCCCAAGCTGGCACGGATGGGCTGCCAAGAGCCAGCAGTGGGGACATCCTCCCCACCCCCCCTTATTCAGCAGAAGGTGAAGGGGGATGTGGGCTCTCATGGCTCTGCCTTGTCAGAGGACTTCAGTATCCCAGGCTGGGCCACCCTTCTCACCAGCACTAAATGCACTAACAGACCTCCAGCCTCCAACCTGCCATAGTATAAACCTAACAAAACAACAGATTATCTTTGTTCCAGGAGAAGCTAAGCAAAGCCCAGGGGCTGTGATGGTCCCACTCTCCTCATCCCTGTCCCAAGCCAACGTGTCACCTTATAGAGGCTTTTATAGGAAGAGCTGGGATTTTGGACTGGACTATTTCAGTTGGTTCCAAGCAGTTTCCAACAGTGGCACACCTTGCCACTGTCCCCTCCCTCACATGTGACTCTCCCTTTGGGAAGGCTAGCATCAGTGTAGGCTTCCTCCAGGCTGCTGATTAGACACAGGGGACTTCAGGGAGTAACAGAGGGAAGCAGGGCCTTGCCTGGTGAGTTGTCATGGGATTGGTGGTGACTCGTTTGGGATTATTTTTTACAATTTAAATAAAAATCAAAGTGTCTCTCTGAAAAGGTATTATCATTCATGGTCTTAATTGTTTGCTAATATTTTAACTTTTCGTCCTTTAAGAAAAATGGCACCAATTAAGATGAAATTAAAATCAAATACTTAGGATTTGTTATTGTTAGAGGGAGGGGATCAAGTCTGACTCTTGGTCCCAGCTCATACTTGGTTGTCATGGTTACTATAAATATTCATTGAGTTCAATTTGCTCTCCAGGAGTTTAGGTAATGAAGTCTCCCTGTTCCAGGACGAGGCCCCTAGGGGAATAGCCCATTTTGAGGCAAAGAGAAAAATGGAATCCTGGCAAGCCAGAGATCTCACTGTCCTGTCAGGCATCTCATGGCCCGACTCAGCCTGTTTAGGGGAGACATGCTAGGTTCTGCTGCTCAGGTAGAGGAGAGGGCCGCATGGCGATGGTGGGCTAGAATAGGCCAGACCCACAGCAGCAGCAGAGGAAGCACCTAGCATTTGTTCAAGTTGGTAGACCAAGACAAATCAACAAGCCTGCATAGAATATTAAACTGTTCTTCCTTCTGTTTTTTTTTTAAGATTTATTATTTTTATTTCATTTTATGTATATGAAATGTTTTCCCATGTGTATGTATATGTACTATATGGGAGCCTGTGGAGGCCAGAAGAGGGCATTGGATGCCCTGAAGCTGTAGTTAGTGTGAGCTGCTGTGTGGGTGCTGGGAACTGAATCAGGGTCCTCTGCAAGAATAGCAAGTGTTCTTAACCCCTGAGCCATCTTTCTAGCCCTTCAGCCCCCTCTCCTCCAGCACTTTGTTTCTGTATTTGTCCACTTCCTTTTTTCAACCAGGCACGGTGACCAACAAACCTTACCAAGTGCTTTCCGAATCTGCCTGCAGTGGGCAGTGCTGAATGGAAAAGCAGCAGGAAGGGAGAGCTCGCTCAAGAGAGGTGACACTTACAGAGCTGGCCCTGAGAGGGCCTTTGCTCTCAGAAGATCAAAGTAGCAACAACTAGATGACAGGAAAGTGGACAATGCATGTACAAGGATTATTCTTGCCAAACACCTCAAATTTTACTCATTTTACAAAAGTACTAAGTGACACATTGCTACAGAAAACACAGAGCTTAGCTTAGATCCTTTAAAGTCAGAATGGTCACATGGAAAGTCAGTGTAGATTCTTACTTTTACTATAAAAGTTAAAGTCAAAAGTACATTAGGAATTGAACTATTTTCTTCTTTCTTGAGAAGTGACACACATGCTTTCTTGTTGGTGACAATCCACCTAAGGTGACAGCTGACCAGAAAACTGTACTGCTCCCCCCCACCCCCTGGCGGAGCGGGATGAGGAGAGCATCAACTTGGGACTCCTGCAGAAAGCCAGCTCACTGGCCTACACAAAGGACTGCAGAGGAGCATGCACAAGCACAGCTAGCATGCTGTCCTGTGGGACGGCAGACAAACATGCACAAACACACTTAGCATGCTGTTGTGACAGAGCAGCCTATTTCTAGCACATAGCCTGTTTGTACTGGTGCCCAGGAAGAAGGGCACTAATCAGAAAGATTTACACTCGCAGCACTCACAACTAAAAAGCACACAGCATATAATACTTTGATCTTTAAGTGGTTGATCATGGGCATTCCAAGATCATACTCACTAGGTTAGCCTGAGTTTTCATCTATAAAAATATGTTTCTTGAAATAATGCTTAGAGACTTAAAGAACAGTGGGACTACATACATCAAAACCAGCAGAATTCGCTGTTGAAAGGACTGCTAATGTAAGAGCGGGGTAGAGAACATCTCTCTCAATCGATTCCTACAGCCACTCTCAAGCTGTAATCATAGGAGATTCAGAAACCAGGACAGGTAGCTGGCCTGTAACTCCCTAGATAAACACTCCCTACCCACCCTCCACCCCACCCCCGTTGAAGCTCAGGACTGAAACTGACCCACGTGAAAACAGCTGTGGGAACACGAAAACTCATGTAAAGCCTGCTGGGATGAAGGGCTCATGATGGTGTTGACACGCTACACTACCATGTTGCTGAGGAAGGGCCCCCAGGTGAGGTGCCAACACGGGGGGGGGTGGGGGGGGTGTCCCTCAGAAGCACCTGGGAGGGGCATTTGCATGGGGGAGTGGAGTGGTGAACACGAGGGCTACTGACTACAAGAAGGTGGTGTTCCTGGACAAGGGCCAGTCATGTTTTCCAGGCCTCATCAATACTTCACATGAATGAAGGGCCGTGGCACAGTTGGTCTTTGCAAGATGCATCTGCTGGCCTGGTGGCCTATGCGACCACACCCCCCGTCTGCAGGCGATGCCTAGTGCCGAAGGCTGTTCTGGGAAGCTGGCGTAGAAGACTTGCACAGAGAAGTCACGACCAAGCCACTGCTTAAGTCCAGTCCTCGCCCTTCCTTCTCCTGAGGAGAAAGCAGAGATCTTCCAACACACCAGGAATGGAAAAAGCTGTCCTAACTCTGGAGCCTCTGGGATTGGGAAATCCCAGGGACAGCAGGGAGGCATGTGAGCTCCCAAGGAGCATACAGGGAGGGACAAGGCAGCAGGTTATTTCCTTTTTCTCAGCTACAGGCCTAGACACTAAAAACAAAAACACAAAAAACTTTCTTGGGACTGGAGAAATGGCTCTGTGGTTAAAAGCACTGGCTGATCTTTCAGAGAATCAGGGTTTGATTCCCACTATCCAGGCACACACTATCTATAACTCTAGTCTCAGGAGATCCTACCCCATATTTTGGCCTCCATGGAAACCAGGCATACATGTGGTGCACAGACATACATGCAGGCAAACACAAATACATAAAAAAAGTAAACTAAGTTTAAAAAATATGACTCTTAACTGGGAATGAGCATAGTGCCATGCCTTAATCCCATATCTCAGGTGGTTGAGGCAAGAGGATCTCTGAGTTTGAGGCCAGCTTGGCCTACATAGCGAATTCCAGGCTACATACATAGAAAGACTCTGTCTCAATAAATACACACATAAGTAAACAACTATGGTAGCCATTTGTTGCTTGAAACTTTTTCCTTTAAAGGGTCTGCATAGTAAAGCGACAGAATGAAACTCATTCTTTGGGAACCCTGAGCTAGTTTCATCAAAACATAAGAGCAGCAACTACTTATTCCTTAAAGACTAACAAACTAATACCAGCCATTTGGGGGGGCAAGGAGAAGATAGGAGGATAAAGGGCAGGTGGTTGTTTCCAAAGCTCCACCTGTGGGCTCGGTGAGGCTAAGTAAGGAGGCAGTCATAACTTACTGCTCTGTAGTCCAGGAACATCTCTTTGAAAGCCAGAAAATCCGTGAATGTGAGCAGCATGTCAAAGATGTCACCAGCCACTTCATCTTTATGGTGCCTGCAGAGGACAAGAGTGTTGGTTCTGTGAATGAACAGGGACACAGACCCCCTCTGGCTTCTGTAGGTTCCTGCATGCACATGATACACAAACTCATGCAGGCTTGCACACATACACATAAATTAATCTCTTCAAAAATTAAAATTAAAATTAAAAAAAAAAAAAGGCTTGCAAAGGCACAGAGGGCCTTCCACTCAGGACCCAGCCACCCAGTGTTCCCAGTGAAGGAAAGGAGAGTGAGTTTTCCTCAGTCTAGGTGAGGAAGAGGAGAAGCACAGAAGCAGAGTGAAGCTCAGCTCACTGCAGTGTTGTTGTGAAGGCTGCCATGTTGAAGCCTGGGATGCGCTCCAGCAGCTGCTCTTCGATGTACTTCTCTACCAGGGAAATCTGCAATAGTGGAGACAGAAGTGTGTGGGCCCTGGGAGGAGATGAATGAGAGAGGGAGGGATTGGGAGGGAGGGAGGGAGGGAAGGGGCTACAGCTGGGATACAAAGTGAAAAAACTGTAATTAATATAAAAAATAAAAATTTAATTAAAAAATTTACAGATTAAAATGTTATATCAAGAAGAAATTAGAACTATAAAATTTGAGCAAAAGTAATTGAAATTTTCATTTCAAATAAATATTGAAGCTTGTCTAACTAATCAAAAATTCACATGTAGCACATGAATAGTGTTGTATCACAGACACTGTTAGATGGGCAGGTTGTCTGCCTTTGAGGACACTTTGCTTTTACTTCATTACATACATAGCTGTGTAAGTTCAATTTAATAAATAAAATTAAGATGGCAAGAAGACTTTTTTGCAGTGTCTATAGCTATACTTGGCATCCTCACCTGTGTGTGTTTGTGTGCCTGCACACATGACAATGAGTGCAGGGGCCAGAAGATGGTGTTGGAACCTCTGGAAACAGAATTATCAGTAGTTGTGAGCCACTGGGTGTAGATGCTGCACCCAATCTGCAGTCCTCTGGGAGCCATCTGTCCAGCCCCAGGCTTTTTATTTTATTTATCATTACTGGATATATGATGTGTGTGTGAAGGGCATGTATGTGCTACAGTGTGTGTGTGGAGGTCAAAGGACAACTTCTGTGGAACCAGTTCTCTCCCTCCATCTTTAAGTCTACCCACTGACTATCTCGCTGGCACTCTTGGTTCATTTTTCACAGCATACAAATGCAAGGTATCACAGCTGAAGACAAGATTATGGTAAAGGCAAACTTGCTTTAAATAAGATGTTTCAGGCTCATCAAATACTTCATGAAAACCCTAGAGAAAACAGGGCTAAGATGGCAAGAGAAAATGACCTAAAGCACATTCTAATCAGCACCCCTCTCAGCAGTGCTAGCATAAAGAGAAAATTCCCACTAAGCTGAGCTGGAATTTACTAGGTAGCTCAGGGAGGCTTCCAACTTGCAGCCATCCTCCTGCCTTAGCCTCCTGAGTGCTGGTTTACAGGTGCCACCATGCTTTGTAACAGCTTTTGATTCTAATTCAAACTTTTTAATAACATATAATATAGTATATATATGTGCATGTATGCACACACATATATCTGTTAGTATACATAACAGATCTAAGTTCTAATTTTAAAGAAACCCTGATGCTCTCGTAGGTGAAATAGATCTACTTACATATTCATTAAAAATGGGGGTATAGGTGAGTTTATTCTCTTCTGTGTCTTCAAACTCCTGGTAGTACTTGTCCATGAAGTTTCTCTGCAATAACTGGAACTCATCATCTGACACAGGGAAGTTCATTCTTTGTAATGAGCTGCAATGCTACAGTGTTGCTTTCCCAGCAGCCACATGGCAGCTCACAACCCTCTGTAATTCAGGTCCCAACTGGCATGCCGTTTTCTACCCCCCAGGTATCAGTCACACACATGGTCCATATACATATATGCAGGCGAAACATTTACACATATAAAATATAAATACAAAAACCAATTAAAAATTTAATAATATATACCTAAAGTTTAGAACTCCATGCAGTTCGCTGGCTTATAAGTGAGCTCATATTACTTTGCACCTGTCTTATTTTTTAGCCTTTGAAACAGGGTCTTCATATATTCTTGGACAACCTGGAATTCACTATGTAGATCTGGCTAACTTTGGACTTACTTGTAGCTATCTTCCTGACTCTGAGTCCTGGGGTTAGGGGCATGGATGGTGGTGGCACACCCTTTATTCCTGGCACTCTGGAGGCAGAAGCAGGTGGATCTCTGAGTTTGAGGCCAGCCTGGTCTATGGAGCGAGTTCCAGGACAGAGAAACCCTGCCTTGAACAAAATCAGAGAAAAAAAAAACAAAAAAGCCAACAACAAAAACAGAAACCCCTAGGTACATGCCACAGTATCTTCAAACAGGTCAGTTCTCAAATTTGCCATAGGGACAGACTTCAATGGCAACAAACCTCTTCTATCCTACTTAATTTTTTTCTTTTAAATTACATTTTCATTTACTTATTTTTATGTGCACGTACTTGCTATGGCATAAGAATGGAGGCTAGAGGAAAGCCTGTACGGCAAGGTTCTTTCTTTCTGTCCATACAAGAGTCTTGGGAATCGAATTCAGGATATCTGGCTTGGCAGCAAGCACTTTACCCAATGAACCATCTCACTGTCCCCCCCCCCCTTTTAATTTCAAAACAGGGTCTCACTGTGTAGCCCTGACTGACTAACCTGGAACTTGCTATGTAATTCTAGGCTGGCCTGGAACTCACAGAGATCCTCCTGCCTCTGCCTCCTGAGAGCTGGGATTAATGCATGTGTCATGGTGTACACTCAGAGGTTAGGTGTTGATTCTCTCCTTCTACCACATGGGCTCACACACTGAACTTGTCTGTTATGCTTGGGAGCCACCTTGCTGTCCCCTTTCTCCTATTTTATTATCATTTTAGCAGCTGCAATGAAAACCTTAGCGTGGGTTAAAGGCTGAGGCCTGCATGAGGCTAGACGGCCTTGGGTTCAAACCCTACCTCAGCCTTGTACTTGGTGTGATCTTGGACAAGTGACCTTATTTCGGCAGATCCCAATATCCTCATCTGCAGCATAAAGATGCCTGTCCTGTCTGTGAAGAGGGGCTTGTCAAGTGGAACTCAGGAGAGTTCAGGTAGAGATTCACAGCCAAGGCTCAAGGTCAGAGAGTAGGGAATTCTGACAACTGAGCCAATTAGAATGTCTATAACAAAAAGGAAATCTTCAAAAGCGACCCAGACTTAAACTTATTTCTCCACAACAGGAAGGATAGCCATGGTGGGCAAAACTGAAAACTCCTTAGGAGAGCTTCTGGCGAGACACAGGAACTAAGGGCTTGGATCCTGACAGGATATAAAAGTGATTTTCAGACTAACATGGGTTAAGCCACAAACCCATAAACAGGGTCTTTTTCTAACTCCTGGAAAAGCTGCTAAACTGTCAAACTTCTGTCAAATTGAGTTTTTCCTCTTACCTATTTGTCTTCAACTTTGGATTTACTACTGCCTCTTTGTCAGTCAGCAGAATGGACAGATGCCAAAGAGTCCAGAAATAGGAATCAAGAATGCAAGGAAAGAGGAGGCTATGTTGGCTCGTGACTGCAATCCTAGCACTTGGGAAGCTGAGGCAAGAAGACAGAAAGATCAAGGCTGGCCTGGACATTAGACTCTAAAAAAACTGTCAACACCAAACCAACCAACAAAGCACATCAAGCATATAAAGAGATCTAAGGCATGCACAGTGGCCCATGCTTTGATTCCAGCAGGATGGAACTCTGAGTTGGAAGCCAGGCTGGTCTATACAGAATTCTAGGACAGCCAGGGTTACACAAAGAAACTTTGTCTAAAAAACAAAAACAAAACAAACAAACAAACCAAAAATTAATAACAGTAACAAAAAAGAAAATAAAAAGATCCAAAGAGATTTGATACTTGTTCCTGCTTCAGGGACAAGTGCTGTATAGGGTTATTGTTTACCTTCTATTCTACAGCTTGAAAATGTTAAAGCTCAAAATTGTTCTTACTGTATATATATGTGCGCAATAAAGTTGGTCAATAATATCTGAAGCCTTGTCAAGAGCTCAGTCCTACCCACCAGTTGACTGTTTCCTGAATTGCTCTCTCCTGAGACCGTCAATCGATGGCTGTATTTAAAAATCCCCAGGCCTTACAGGACAGAGCCAGGGTCTAAACTCTTCCATCCTCTTGCCTCCACCTACCTGTGCCCAGGTTACTGAGATGTGCCACATACCAGGTTTTGGGTTCTTTCTTTTTTAATTATATTTTTGTTTTTGAGTGGGCACATGCCTGCTACAGCCTGTGTATGGAGCTCTGAAGTCAACTTTTGGGAGCCAGTACCACCTTGTGGATCCTGGGGAAAAATCTAAGGTTGTCAGGCTTGCTGGGGAAGTGTCTCTACCCACTGGGCCATCATGTGGACCCTAGGCTGTTTCTAAGACAACAATGCTCAGTATGGTTTGCTTACTATTACGGTGTTCAAATTTAATTGATGTTTTGTGTTTGAAAAATTAACTCTTCATGTTGGTTCCCCTCAACCCCCAGACAGGGTTTCTCTGTGTAGCCTCAGCAGTCCTGGACTCGTCTGGAGATCTGCCTGCCTCTGCCTCCCCAAGTGCTGGGATTACAGATAGCTCCACCCCACCTGGCTTCTGCATGCTCTGATAAGCAGAGGTTTGGGTGACTGAGGTGGCTCAGTGGGTATAGGCCCTTCCACAACAAGCACGGTGATTTGAGTTCAACCCTCAGAGCCCACTTAAAGGTGGAAGATGAGAACCAACTCCACAAAGTTGCCCTTTGACTTCCCCACGAACATAGTGGCCTAGGAACAAGCCCCTCCCCCATCACACACGTATATGAACACATTTTTAAAAACTGCTTCAAAGCAAGTGTATTTACGTAAGAATCAAGAAGTTAATCTATGGAACTAGAGGTGGCACAGGTCACTTAGTGGTGTAGAAACTTACCCATAATAATGTCTTCTAAACATCCAACCACTGCATCAAATTCTGCATCAGAGGCGGAGGAGCTGAAAAACACATCAGGATTAGGTGCTGATCTAAATAATTATTTCAAGAGTTGAATTTGTGTTTTCTGTGGGGATGGGGAATTGAACCCAAGGCCTTGCACATACTAACCAATCAAAACAGCAAGGCCCATTAACATTTTTCAAATGTAAAATTTCCAACGTGCACAAAGGAAAGCAAGATGAACCTCCCACCAATCAGTTTCAGCGATCAGGGATTACTGTCTAGCATAGAAATTCCAAATACAGGAAAACACCCGTGACCAAAACCGGTATGAAAATCACCAAAGCAGCAAACAATATGGGGGCCGAGGCTGGCGTGGCACATCTTCAGACTTCCGCATTTATTACCAGCGGGATCTACTCACCGCATCCTGGCTCTTAACCCCACAATTCTCTGCTGGCGAGTGTGACCACACGCGGGAGGGGCACCGGCCTGGAGTGTAACTGGATCAGGAGTGGCCTGAGACCGGCGGTGAGGCCCCCGCCAGCCTGGGCTGCTCAAGGCCTCTAGATTTTGCTGACGGCCCAGATTCAGGCCAGAGGATTGTGATGGAAGCGCTGGTAATCGGTGACACAGCCCCGCGGACGAGGGAAACGCCCCGCTGGAGCGGGGCCCTGGGCCGCCTGCCCGCGCCAGACCCCGGAGGCACCCGCAGGCCGAGGTCGAGCGGAGCCTGGCAGCGTCACTTACAAGGACAGCGCGAAGCTCTCTTCCTCCAGGGCATCCATCGTAGGGCGCTGCAGTCACCGGCCCGGGCCCCGCGGCCCCTACCGCGCCCGCCGCCGGGCGGGGCTCCGCTCTGGCCCGCGCCGCCTCAACCACATCAAGGGTCCGCAGGAGGTCGCTCTGCCCGCGATCGCGCGAGGCCCGGCCTGCGGCTCCCGGCTGGGCCCCGCGCCCGCCCGCCTCTCGCGGGGCCACCCCGCCACGATCTGTTAGGGCGAGCGGTTCGCCGCAGCCCCGCCTCCCGTCACCATGGTTACCCCCGCGGCTCCAGCAGCCAATCACAGCCTCGGGTTCCCGGGCCTCACGTGGAGGACTGCAAAATGGCGGCAGTCCGTGTGTCGGCGCTTGTTCCTGGTTGAAACAGTGGGAGGCAAGAGCCCGGGTTTCTTCGCTTGCAGTTTAGGGACTGTAAAGATTATGTAGCTGAAGGCGTGTTTTAAGAGCGCTGGGAATGGCCAAATTGCTGGAAAGCCAGTCTCATATTTTGTCCTAGATAATTCAGACGTCTGATTTACCAAAGTTACTTCTCGGAAATATGGAAGGTTCCACCACATTAAGTGGGATGTCCTGTAACATAATTTGTAATCTTCACATCAAGAGCCAGAGCAGGGCTGGGTGGCATGAGTCTGTAGTCCCGGCATTTGGAAGGTGGAGGCAAGTGGTTCTAGGCATCTAAGACCTCCTTCAGCTAGTGAGTTAACTTCCAGTTTAGGTTAAGTGAGACTCCTGTCTCACTAAATCCAAGAAAACCGAAAATAATTACTATGCAGTAAATTGTTTCTTGGCTAATTATGCAGTACAAAATTGTTGACAACCACTAAATGCCACGTAATCAGAAATAACGTTGCTCCTCCAAAAAGTCCCCTCTAAAACTGCTACACCATGAAAATAAGATTTCCTGGGACTTATGTCTCCATTTTTATTTTTCTGAAACAGGATCTCAACAGGTAGCCTTAGTTAGCCTGGAGTTTACTGTGTAGACCAGGATGGCCTCAAACTCCTAGAGATCCTGCCTCAAAAAAGTGCACAACCACGCCCTGCTTGGAACTGTTTTATCTTGATGGCTCACTAAGCATTAAGTCTCTTTGGTGGTCTGATAGTTTTTAACCAAATTTGTAGTAATAATTAGAAAATTTATGGTATGAATTGAGCATTACAAGGCCAATCTGACTGAATCAGTAGTCATTTTTGAATGGACATAAAATGGGGGTCTAGGGATCTTACAGCATCTGAAACCAAGATGATTTTTCAAAGATATTGGGAGATCAGAGTACTCTGGTTAGCATCAGGTGAAGACAAGTGTGCTGGTTGGTTTTTGTCACCCTCGACCTGAATCACCTGTGAAGGCAGCTTCAGTTGTGTGTGGCTTTTTCAAGACAGGGTTTCTGTGTAGTGCTGGCTGTTCTGGAACTCACCTTGTAGACCAGGCTGGCCTTGAACTCATATCTCAACAGGCTCTGCCTCCCAAGTGCTACAGTCAAAGGCATGTGCCATCACCACTTGGCTTTGAATGAGGATTATTTTCTTTATTTAATGATTGATATGGGAGGACCCAGTCCACTGTGGGCTACACAAAGAAGCTCAGCAAGCTAGAGAACAAGCCTGTGAGCAGCATTTATCTACCTCAGTTCCTGACCCAACTTCTATCAATGATGGACTGTGACATGAAAGTGGGAGCAAAATTAACCCTCTCTTCCCTCAAATCTGTTTTGGTCAGTGTTTTGTCACAGCTCTGATAAGCAAACTAGAACAAGCGTCTAAAAATTCTGTTCTACCAACTGGTCAGACAGCTCTGAGCAAACTCTGCTAAGATCCCATTACTTTATAGCCCACTCACTTCTGGTTAACTGAACTTGCCTGTTTCTAAGTCATGGATCCTAGCAGAAAAGGAATGAAATTTTTGTCTCTACTAATTACCTATTGCTATTGCCAACTCCTTTCCCACCTTGAGAAACTTAGCTGTTGCAGAATTTTAGCAGAACTTTTGTATCTGGCAGGAATCCTGAGTGATGGCACCTAAGCTTTGAAGTAGCCATTTGTCCGTGACTGTTATTTGAGATTTTATGAGGCTATTCTGTTGAGGGTTTTTCAGAGTCTTTGCATATCTTAGTCCCAAGACAGCCCTGGCAAACCAGGAAGTCTCCCAAGATTAAGAAATGCTTAGGTGATGGGTCTTTCAAGATAGCCTCTAGGTCAGATAAGAAGTTTTGGTATTTGGAAATTGACTTGCTAAAGATGCCTTTGTTGTAACAATAAAAAGGGTTTCTAGCAGGGTTCAGACCTTCAGAGGCTGATTGATCCCTCCTTAATGCTGAGAAGCCTGAATATATCCTATAGTGACTTTTTTCTACTAACTCCTAACTCACCAACACCAACACTGACACCTAGTGGACTAAAATATTTTACTGATTAATCTGCATTTTGGAAAGGGTTTGGCAAGAACTAGTCTTTATTCCATTTGGTGTCAGCTGGTATGGTTGCTTGAGAAGCTTGAGGAGCTTGAGGAGCTTGAGAAGTCTTTCATGGAGCTCAGGTGGGTTGGCAATTTAGTGATGGCTCACAGCTGGGGGTTAGTGAGGACTGGGTTGGGGAGTAAAGTAGCCTGCGGAAAGGTCTCAGTTCCTCTCCTCACAGGTTTTCTAGAGATGTTTGGGTTTTCTCACACAACTGGACTCAAGAGCAAGCATTTCTGCCAGTCATGGGAAGCACACCTTTTTGGTTGTTTTTGTTTCTCTGTGTATCCCTGGCTGTCATGGAACTCACTCTATAGGATGGGATTAAACGCATGTGCAACCACAGACCAGCTAGGGAAGCACTTTTAATCCCAGCCCTTGGGAGGCAGAGGCAGGCCAGATCTCTGCGTGAGAGCAATCTGATCTACAAAAGGCATTCTAGACCAGCCAGAACTATGTAATGAGACCTGTGGGGGCAACACACACACACACCACACACCACACACACAGCCCTCCTCCCAAATAGTCCCAGGGACAGGAAGCAGAAGCTGCAAGTAAAACACTCTCTATATAAAATCTTAGAAAGGAATCAGCCTTCCAGGCTGAAAGATGGCTCATAGGGTGAGTACTTCATGCTCTTCCAGAGTTCAGTTCCCAGAACCTGTATCAGACAGCTCTATATACTGCCTATAACTCTAGCTGGGGGATCCAACATCCTCCTCTTTAAAAAAGAAAAAGAAAAAAAGCTAAGTAGCACATGCCTTTAATTTCAGCACTGGGGAGGCAGACAGGAGGGTCTCTGTGAGTTCAAGGCCTGTCAGAGTTACATAGTAAAACTTTGTTTAAAAACATACCCAAACCAGCAAACAAATGTTTGCTTTTCCCTTTCATTAATTTTAAAGAATATTACATTTTACTGATGCATGTGGCAGTGCACAGTGCATGAGGTCAGAACAAATGCAGGAACTGGTTCTCACTTTCTGCAGTTTGGGTACCAGAGGTCAAACTCAGGTCATCAAGCTTGGTGGCAAGTGCCTTTGCCTGGTGAATGAGCATCTTAACAGCACTTTTTTCATAAAAACAAAACAAACTTATTTTTTTTTCTTCATATGGATGTTTTGTTTGCATACCTGTCTCTGTATCACCCGCATGCCTGTTGCCTAAGGAGACCAGAAGAGGGTGTTGGTTGGATCACCTGAAACTGGAGTTACAGATGGTTGTGAGACACCATGTGGGTGCTAGGAATTAAACCTGAGTCCTCTGGGAGAGCAGTCATTGCTCTTTAGTGTTTTTGTTTGTTTAGTCTCAGCACTTGGTGAACAATGGCAGGTAGATCTCTGAGTTCCAGGACAGCCAGAGCTATGTAGTGGGACCCTGACAAAACAAAACAAAAAAAAAAACCCTCCAAAACTATTCCTGCCCAGTGTGGTGGTATATACCTTTAATTCTAGCCCTGGGAGGTAGAGGCAGTGGGATCTCTGTGAATTCCATGCCAGCCCAGTCTACATAGTAGTGAGACCCTGCCTTAAAAAAAAAAAAAAAAGTGCACGTACACACGCACACACACTTCTATGTAAATAAGCAATTGCACAAGATGAAGAGTGGACAACCTTGGAAAAGCTGGTTTTCAAGGATACATACTCAAGATTGTTGAAATAATAAAAATCACCTTTTAAAAGATGTATTTATTATATATACAATGTTCTGTCTGCATGTACTGCATGTACATCTACACGCCAGACAAGGGCACCAGATCTATCGCAGATGGTTGTGAACCACCGTGTGGTTGCCCGGAATTGAACTCAGGACCTCTTGAGCCAACTCTCCAGCCCTACAAATAATTTTCTATTGACAAAGTTGTTTCAGTTTTTGTGGCTCAGTCATTTCCTGGAACTCTGTAAATGGCACCATGATTTTTTTTTTTCCTGCTTTACAGCATTCAAAAAGGAAAAAGGAAAAGAAAAAAGAGATAGTAGAGCTAGAGAGATAGCTCTCCAGTTAAGAGAACTGGCTGCTCATCCAGAGAGCCTGGGGTTCAATTCCCAGCACTCACATGACATTTCACAACTGTCGTCAACTCCAGTTCCAGGGGATCTGATACCCTCACACAGACATACATGTAGGCAAAATACCAATGCACATAAAAATAATTAAAAAAAAGTTATTTTAAGTAAGTTGGGTGGTGGTGGTGTACGCCTTTAATCCCAGCACTTGGGAGATTCAGAAGCAGGTGGATCTCAAGGCCAGCCTGGTCTACACAGTGAGTTAGGACAGCCAGAGCTACACAGAGAAATCCTGTCATGGAAAAAAAAAACAAACAAAAAACAAAAAACAAAAACCAAAACAGTAACAAAAGAGCCAATTCACTATTTTTTTCTGGTGAAACTCTAGATTTCTCCTAACGAATCACTGGGAAAATGCTGTACCTTAATATATACATATATATATTGTCTCTTCCCCCTCTGGTAACACTGCACTGACAGTAAAAGTCTAGCTTCT